GGCAGCCCCCGCGGGAGATGTGTAGGCAGCCGCAGGAGCAGGCGGAGAACTGCCCCGAGGAGGCGGATGCCTTTTCCTCCTGCCGCCTGAGGGTGGTGGCTCGTAAAGTTAGGGTTGAATGGGGAAAGCAAAGCCTGGTCTTCCGACTGTCCTGGCGGTAAATGTTGGTAGCCGCACATGTCCCCGTAGTTACTACGTAATCCTTCGGCCGCCAGAGAGGGCTAAACAAAATGAGCTGCCCTCTCTTTGTGGGAAGAAGGAGGGAAAGTAAGTCTTAAAAATGCCCACAATTCTATTGCCATTGAAGACTAGCGTAGCGTGAAGAGGAAACGTTCAAACATGCCTTCCATAAACTAGAAATCAGACTTGCTAGTGCTGTGTGGGTACATGTTACTAGCGTGTAAACCTAGAAACAAGGATTTGAGCAATTTAAGGCACAGTTTGGTGAACAGTTGAACAGTTGAACAAAACAAATAAGTGCCTAATTTTGACATGAATTTCACCTCCATAGTCCATTATAATCCATCCTCTCAACTTCTTCCGAGGACTCACATTTTAAAATCAAGAAATGCCTGTCACAGCTGCAGAGCAGCCTGACAAACATGACTCTGTGCAGCAGACACTTGCCGAAAGTCAGAATAATTCAGGGGAATAACGTCTGCGCTCAGTTAAAGTGTTAGTAATTAAAATTCCAGTAATGAAAAGGAAGTCTGGGTTATTGACCAACCTGCCCTGTCTTCCTTGGCTAGTTTGAAGACTAAAGTGAAGCCAATACTGCAGGTGAAGAGGCAGAGGCTTCTGGTTCTGTGTTAACAAGAGATAACAGAACAGAAGCAAAAGTCACTTGTAGACACTGCTTAATTTTATTGCTTTTACACGGTATTTGCATATATCGTAGAGAAGAGCAATGCTTTAAGAACCATTCATTAAGGAGTTTTATCGTGTGTATTTCCTTGATTGACTTTCTACAACGTCCAATTGTTTTGTCATGCCACATGACATACTGGAAGTTTTCTCTGGCAGCGATTCAGGTTAAAAAGCTGACTGTCTCCACAGTTGCTTTGTGGCGACAGATCTTTGTACCACAGCTCAGCACTTCCTTGCGTGTGCTGGTCCAGTTGTTTGTGTAACTGTGCTGCAAAGTAGGTCAAGGAAAAAAAAAAAAAGCTGAAAATTTGAAGGTGCTTTTGAAAAGGATTAATTCACATATCCTATTTACTCTGCAGTTTCACAACCAGTTTGAGCCAGTTTGGCTGTGTGGTGCCATGAAAAATTGGTCTCAAATTCCACCCTTGTATTTCCACGCTTTTCCTTGTGTGGGTGCTAGCCCTTGAACACAGTTCTTCCTTAAGGGTCCGTTTTCAGTGAGAACAGGTCTCTGATCCGGTTCCTCAGCAGCTGAACAGTCTGCAGAGCTGATGTAGGAGCAGCAGCCATCCAGCCTCAGACCGTGTTTGATCTGCTTGAGAAGCTGGAGAGTACAGACAACTGAAGGAGCAAAACCGAGGCAAGATTATGCTCTAGAGTTGAAGAATGAGTGGTTAAAAATAGCAGTTATCAAACCAGATCATCCAACAAAGGAGTATCAACACAGAACTTCAGCCTTAATATGTTGTGCAATGTTAGAGGATCTCAGGTCCCTTTTCTTGGTTTAGTTTCAATTATGACAGCACTGTGCAGTGCTAAGAGTCCCAGTGCACGTCCCTGTCCCAAGGCTGCTGCACTGCTGTGGCTACAAAGAGTTTTGAACTATTTCTTTGATAAATTTAATACATGATGTGTTTGCAGAAAACCTCCGAGGATTTGAAGTGGGCATGCCCTAGCTTGAAAAGAGTTTTTTCTTTGTCTTACAGAGTATTGTTTTTATTTTACTAAATTAGGCTGCCAAAATGCTGTTCCCCTTCATACATTAACACCAGGAGCAGCTTGGAGTTGCAGGAGCAATGGAGTAAAGGAGAAGAGAATGCAAAGGTGCCATCATTCCCATGTCTGATAAACCTGACCTTAACACTATTGGGAATGAGTCTTATTTAAATATCTGTTGCAGACCTAGTATTATTCACGCAAAGATCTACCATCATGCTGAAAATCCTGGCTTCCGAAGATGGTTGTAACTGATGGTTCAGTGACATTAACATCTTCCTAATTGCAGTAGGATTAAACTGTAAATAAAACCCAGTCTCTTTAGCAAAATAATAATAATAATAATAATAATAATAATAATAATAATAATAATAATAATCTTTTATTTAGATTGTGTTCTGATTATTCAAGTATATTAGAAGGTATTTTCAAATTACCGTTTTCCAAAGCTCCTTCCAGACACAGCTAAACTCTCAGAGATCTTTTAAAACCAGGTAGTGTTTGAAGCAAATGAAGAATCTTTGTTTTTTCATTATTATTTTTTTCCTGTGCCAAAGATCTGATTTACCAGTTTGTTTCTTTACTTGCATACCTATGTATTTAAATGGTATACCCACTTTATGCATGTGGAAGACCAAACACAGGGTTTTAGCATGCTCTTTTAGCTTTTGGGTATGTGTTTTAGATACCTCTATAATATTCATTACAAAAATGTGCCTTTTATTCCCATATTATCTGCTTTTATTCTTGAGGATGCAGTTCCCAATGGACTATTCATATAAGTAATCCTCATTTAAATAAGAACAGTGGAATTATTCATGTTACTAAAGAATAGCTGTATTTCAGAGGATTATATCTGAGTGAAGCATTCACAGCACCGTGCAGAAATCTGAAAGGGAAAAGAGATTAATCTGATTTCAGAGCACAATTCTTGGCATTCTGTTCTGTAAGGTTACTTACCACTTGTTCTATTTTGCTGCAGCTGGATTCTTGCCCTATTCAGATTACTAAATTGCACTACTTAATTTTTATTTTCAAAATTTCCCCTGTGCTTAAGAATTACAATTTATATTTCATAATTTATTTTACAGCCTCAAAACTTAGAGGGTGTGGTTTTGTGATCAAAATACAAATTATTTGTTCCAGTTAAGTCAAATTATATTAACATTTCTATTCTGGGATTAAAATATTACCAAAAATTAAAAGAGAGCTGATTGTTTCAAGGTAAATTCTAAGCACACTGGGGAAAAAGAGCCAGGTCACACACAGCAAAGTGTGTGCTATGAGGAAAACCTGCTCAGCATTCACATCAAAGAGTAAAAATGTCTTTTGCCATGGATGTACATTAAATTCTCAGCTTCTTCCTATTAGCACAGCCTGGTGAAGTCTGATCTGCACTGCCCCTGTTCAGAACCTCCTGTTCTTACATCCTCGCAGAGCTTCTTACCCATATTGCCAGATATCCACAAGATGAGGGCCTAGAGCAACCCATTTATGAAGTTCTCCATCCAACAGACAGAGCCTTAAAAATCAGTTGAGGCTGCAGGCCTCACCTGGAGGAGATCTGGAGAGTTTTGGTGACAGAATAGGGGTGAGGGTGATGGCAAGGCAGGCAGGTGCAGTAACCTCAGACAAGGACACAGTCCCACAGTACCCAAACAAGACTAGGTCCAGCGATGCTACCAGGTTCAGCCCACAGTCCAGGGATCACTAGGCAATCCATAGCCTTGAGACAGGGCCAAAGTAAAGCCAGAAAGTTTCATAGACTAGGGAAGATACAGTATACATACAACATTGCTCAAGCAAGAAACAAGAATGAGAACTTTAGTGTCGTGGTTTGGGCCAAACACTACAACAAAAGGAACATCTACATGTCTGCTCAGTTAGTTCCCCCCCCTCGCCCCACACACACACTCTCACTGGGATGAGGAAGACAAAGCTCTTGGGCTGAGACAAAGGACAAGGAGGGTTCTTCACCAAATAAGGTCCCGGGCAAAACAGACTCAACTTGGGGAAAAAATAGTCATTTAATTTCGCTAATCAAACACACACAGGACACACACAACACCAAGAGCAGGGCTTGCATATGTCACCCCACCCCTCCCTTCTTCCTAGGCCCAGATCACTTTGTTCCCGGTTTCTCTCCCTCCTTCCCCCCAGCGGCACAGGGGGACAGGGGATGGGTTTAGAGTCACTTCAGAGGCTGGTGGTTCCTGCTGCTCCTTCCTCCTCAGGAAGAAGGATTCCCTACAGTCCTTTCCTACTTCCCCACGGGAACCAGGAACCCCGATTTTTCTTCAGCTTATCCTCAAGATGTAGGAGGAATCAAATCTGGTGCCTTCCCCACAGTGCTCAGTTGAAGTGGAAAAAGTACCCAACTGTTGGTCTTAGGGGCACAAGCAGCAGGTGCTTGGTGATGTTGTCTTGGTGGGTGCCCAGGTCTTTGTAGGTCCTGCATGCTCCCATGGCTGGGTGCAGTCCCATCAGAAAGTTGTTCTTGAAAAGAGCTTGGCAAAGGCAGCAGAGGTCCCCACGTTTTTCATGCACTTGTGACCCTGAGTGTCATCAGGGTCTGGTTTGTCCTCCTAGTCATCCTCCTTCCTATCCTCCACACTGCCGAAACTTGCCTGCTGCTTGCTGTTGTCAGTCAGGGCTCTTCTGCCTGGGCAGCCAGTAGAGCCCAAAGAGCGCAAGCAGGGCTTCAGCAGAGGCCCAGAACCACCAGTGCTGGCAGGCAGCGAGAAGCACACCTTCCTGGGGAAACCCATGTGGCTCCTGGCTCCTCTTCTCCATCTCCTCCAGCAGCCAGGTCATCTGATGACTTTGCTGCTCCTCAGGCTGCTGCAGGATGTCTTGGGTGACCATGTCTGGCCAGTCACCCACCCTCAGCATGAACTGGAAGATGCTCAGCAGTGAGGATGTGGGTGATGCCCAGAGCCATGGCCTGGAGGAGGAGGGAGAGAAGGGGCTCAGCAGAGCTGGGTTAGAAGGGAGACAGTGGCTGGGCCAGCAGGGTCAAGGAAATGCAAGGACCCCACCAGGTTGGGGTGGGAGAGGGGGTGAAGGAGCTGGGAGGCAGCAAAGGCATGGGTTGGTAAGGGCTGTGGAGCTGGGGGCAACTCCCCTTGCCTCCTGGGCACTGGCTGTGGTTCTCAGTCGTGGGCAGCTCTGCACCCAGCCCCAAGGGCAGCACCTGACCTGCCCTACTCCCTGCAGCATGTCTTTTCTTACACCTCTAGTGGCTGGAGAGGCATACTGTCCTGTCTGTTTAAAGGTCTAATTTAAAAAGTATTGCAGGAGTACCAGGTAAAGCTAAAGATATTAAACAAAAGGAATGTTACTTTATTTACTGTCTTAGTACAAATCAAGAATAACTGCATTCTGACCAAGTAGAAATAAAGTGTCTGCCTTCAAAATCCAATTCAAGGGAGCCTTGAGATCATTAAACTGGGTTTAAGTTAATGTCTCCAGTCAGGAACATTTAAGCTCTAAAGGATAACTGCTAGAAGTGGGAAAAGGGCTGTGGCAGAAAGAGGCTAGTGACATGGTTAGAAGGGAAATTCATCTGAGAAGAGATGGTAACGCTTTTAGGAAGAGAGATGCCTCAAAAAAGGCAAATGGGTGTCCTCTGCTAAAGGCAATTCTGTCTGCAGAGTAACACTTCTGTTAAATACCACCATTATAGAAAGGGGTAATGACTCTAGGATGGGTGTTGACATAAGGAGTTATTCCAAAATGACTCAGGCAGAATATTTATTCCACTATACTTAGTCCAGTTGTCCTCTGCATATAAAGCTAAGTGGGCCATCTTGACTCTTGGTCTGACTTGAAGAAACAAAGAGCCTTGCAAGAAATCCGCCTGAGCTTGCAGAAGAGGAAGAGTGGCAGGGCAGTCAGCTGGGATCAATCATAAAAGAATGTTTTTGGGTTTTTTTGCTGAAATAAAATTTAAAAGCTACTTACTGTTTTTTTTGATGGAATAAAGGGGGTTTTGGGCTAGTCTTAAATTTAAGAGGCTGATAGAAGTGTATTGATTGTTAAGGAGAAGAGTGAAAACTTTTTAAAAATGTGATGTCTTTTTTTTTTTTTAATAAAGTTTACATTTATGTTTTTGCCACAAGCATCATTTTAGCTTCTTACATGTGCATATACAACTGTATGCAATGAAAAATGCCATTGCTTTAAAGCAGAGCTTCCTGACTTAGTTTGTACAGCCGCTGTCATCACAAAAAATGTTGAGCTGCACCACATCAGTCTCCACAGTGGCAGCTTCTGACTGCATGCAAAGCTGTACATGCACTGTAGGAGATGTGGTTCTACCCTAGGATTTCTCCTGAGTCCTCTGCTGGCCTTTGTATACAAGGTGGAGGAGGAAGAAGTATTTGGTCATTGCCTGTCTTCTCTGGGATTGTTTTAAAAATGCTCCCACCACATGCAGCTTACCTGCAGAGTGCCTGCTTTGGGGCTGAATTTTAATCATGCACAGATATCAAAGCAAAGGCCAGTGAAAGCATCACTTCATACTGTACATGAGGAAAATGAAAGATACAGAAAAGTTAAAGCCAACATCTGCAAGAGCATTAGTGCTTAATTGTCACTGAAATCAATCTAAGCTAGGAGTCTAACAAGCAATGGGCATTTATGCTCAGGTGACACCTGTCCCTCCAGCACACGGTGAGTTGTTCATGCAAACATAAAGTATAGAAATACATGACATACTTTTTCAACTTTTACTTTTAGCAGACTGAAGCCTCCCTTAATGATCAGAAATATTGCCACTGCTTAGAGAGAACCACCAGATGATTGCCAATGCCAGAGTCTCATAAGGTTTTGAAAAGCAGACTTTATTTAATAGGCACATCATTGCTTTAATAGCACTGGGCTGCACAGCTCACTTCACCATTTGTAAATGGTTTTATTTGATTACATTGCATTTCCTCAGTGTCGGTAGGATTCAAGTAAAAAAGTTACTGCTTTTATTTCTCTATCATTTTTCAAGATGGAAAAAAAACACAACCCAACAGTACAACAGCTACCGCACAGGAGCGTAACACAGACAGAACTGCCTGAGCTTCAGACAAACTCTTAATTTCAACACTGGACAGTTAAAGACAATCACACTACATTTGCTCAGATGGCATTTTGTATTATGCAGGATAGAGATGAATGTTGCCCACCAGTACAACAAGGGACTTACACTGAGAAAGTTCTTATACTGAAAAACAAAGACTGCCTAACACAGACAAGAATGAGGGTTTCAAAACAAAACAGCTCACATGGAATTAGCTTCCCTATCATTTCTGATTATAAAAGTTATACTCCCTCAGCTGTAAAAGTTAAAGGCTTAAAATCAAAGTACTGCTTAGAGAACCTGCAATTTAATCAGCTTTTCAGCTCATCCCCCCTCTTCCCACTATATTACAATTCTTTGTGATAAGAGAAAACAATCTTTAAGAGAGAAAAACATAATCTGGATTATTTTTGTATTTAAGTAGTTTACCTGGTTGATACATTTCTTCCCTGAAAAACTGCATTTTAATATTTAAATTCCACTAGTAGAAGCATAGAAAATCAGAAATCTTTAGAGGAAAATAATATTGCTCTATGAAAGAAAAAAGCATGACTTCTAACGTAGTTTTATGAACATCATAAAAGAAGCACATATGGTATAGAAACATTTTGAAAATGGAGAAATACTTTCTAAGTTTCAATGTTCTTAGGTCTTACATTCCATTTTCTGAATGGATATTTCCAAAGTTAGCATCTCGTGGGGGTTTTATATATTTCATAACATTGTATAGGACAGACAACCTAAAACTAACAAGGCAGAAATCTAGTGTGCCACACATTTTAATATACACTATTACTTTAGTTACTAGCACTTAACACTGACAATACCTACTGTATTTGTAAAACTTTTTTAAAATCAGCTTGTCAAAGCTTTTGAGAAGCAATCTGGGCAATAAGGTGGGTATACAAATATGGCAAGTTATCCAATCAGAGGTCGCTCTCTCCATACAGTGCTGATGAGAAAGAGGTGTAATCCAGAGCCCCAGGAACAGAACCTGGGCCAGTATACGGAGGCATTCTCTTGATGCAGTACTGAGCCTGCTCAGGAGGCAGCTCTCGACGTAGCTCATCTGCCAAGATATAAGGCTGGGAGGGGGGGAAGAATTGACAAATTCAGTATGTATCTTCAAAAACACAAAATGTATTCATTTGCTGCTGTGACTAAAAACTCAGATATCCTAACTACTTTCCTGAGACCAAATACTTTCCTCTGTATATTCCATCCATAATGTGTTGAAAAGGACAGTCTTACCAACAAACTCTTCAGTTCAAAACCCAGTCTCAGCTACTGATCACTGTGCAGCCACAGACAGACTGCTACTGACACAGCTCATCCATGGATAGAGAGTCAGTATCTCCAAAGTGCACTACTGCCCCTTCCACTGACAGGAAGATCCTGTTAGTTTCAAGGTCCTAATATATTTGTAATGAAAGATGTATTATTGCTCTTAATAGCTTGCCTTTATGATGGATGAAGGATACCCTATGTGAACAGTCTCGATATTGTTTAAAATAGTAATGAAAACCATTTTTTCCTGAGACCTTGGCTTTCATCATCCACACAAATTCTTACTGAGAACGTATCTGGAATTCAAACTGTGGTTCATAGTAACTGAGATCACAAAATCAATATAAACAGCCAGAATGAGAAAATCAATATAGCAAGCTTGGGCAATTAGACCTGTACTGATGTGATGTACCCATAGCACAGGATTGGTTTCCTGGCAGCACTGTTTATGGCCCTGACTCCTCCAGAAACTCTTGTGTTGTCATTATCCTCCCTTTCATCTTCATACACCACTCACTCGCCAGTGGGTCTGGCTGTGGGGAGAAAAGTATGCCAAACTCAGGAGCTTCCTCCATATACCCAGTAACTAGCTCCTCCTCCTGCTCCCCCTAGGATAAAGGTACCCCACATTGCATCTCCCTGTTGAGCTGTCAGGTCACAACATGGCTCAGAATTGGGTATAGTCTTGTGCAAATCCCCCAGGCTATGCTCCAGAGGGCCAAACTCTGCATTGAAACATCTAGACAACAGTATGACATGCAGAATGAGTTCTCTTTTAAGCAAGGCTGTTGTGTGGAAATAACCTCATGTACAATACACCCATTATATAGACAAACTCTCTGAGTCTTGTCTAAGATGTGTAGTTTTATCTTGGCACTCTGTAATACAAGGCATAGAAACCAAGCCTTGAATTCTGCACCCATTTCAGCTGAGTCCTGCCTCCAAACAAGAAAAGGCAAGTGCTCTCTTTAAAGTCTTACAGACTGAAAGCAAAGCTTCCCTAGTACTAGAAGGCTGCAGAGGACTTTCAGCAAAGAAAGGCTAAATAGGAGGGCTACTGAATCCTTACAGCCAGGAGCGTGATGACTGACCTTATCTGAAGCCAGGATTCTGAAGGAAGCGATCACTTGCTCAGCCGTGTCTGTGTCTGCCGTTTCTCTGGTCATGAAGTCAATGAAGGACTGGAAAGTCACAGTTCCTTGCCCATTGGGATCAACCAGAGACATGATTCGGGCAAACTCAGCTTCACCCTTTCACAGAATCCAAAACACACAAAAAAAATGGTCACCATAATAATAATCACCAACAGCCCATCTCTCTCATGAGCCAGCAGACACTAGTGGTTACAAAGTCTTTTTAAGCATCTTCCTGACTCAGGAACATAAATGTCAGAGTCAGTGAAATCTGGGATCTTAAAAGCCCACCCCAGTTTTGTAAAAAGGACTTGGTGCTTTTGAAAAACATTCTGTTTGTCCTAAATACATAGTATGTACCTTTCACTTAACTTTCTGCCCCTTCTCCCCCCTTCCACCCTCACTCAATGCCTGTTTAACTTGTTTTAAGTTACATTTCATTTCCCACCCCATCCTAAAAACCATTGTAATTTTGGTACTGCACAGGGAGATGAAACAGTAGCCCAAGAAGCAGTGCATTTGCAGACCCACTGAACTAAGAAGTACAGGAAACAATTCAGAAAATTGAATGCCAAACATAGGACAGTTCCACTAAAAAGGTGAATTTGGGTGAAAATGTTTAGAATAGCTAAGTGAAGGAAAGCAAATGCAACACCCAAAGGTAGTTCATGAGAATTAAACAGCATCAAACTCATTCTTCCTCATGCAGTTAAAAAAGGAAAAGGAAAAAAAATTTAATAACAGTTAAGTTAAACTTTTAAAGTTTCCTTAATTCAAAGGGCAGTGCAGCAGACCACTGAATATGGTTTTCAGGTGTCTAGTTTTACTTTTAACTTCATTTTTAATAATTTGAAAATAAAGAAAAAAAACAAAGAAATAAGAATCTAGTATTTCTAGTGTAAATTACATTGTTAGTATTCTGTCATTTTAAATAAGCTTTAGTGTTGCTGTGGTTAAGGTTATAAGCTGTTAATAGCATCGGTTGCTGTTGTTTCTTAGAATTCATACCAAATCATAACCCATTGAAATTAAGCAAGCTCTGAAATCGTCATGGTCCATCAATCCATTCTTCCTCTATTGACCAAATAAGGAATATGGAAGGGAAGGTTTGAAGAATCCAAGGTAATTTCCAGAGAGATGACGAGTTCAGACCATTGGCATATGGGATCCAGTGCATGAACAGTAATCATTGATATTGCCCAAGCAGGTCACCAGAATCATCATCAGTTTTAAAGGAGGAAGAAGTAGCTAACATATTACACACAGTAAACAGACATTTTCACCACAAAAAGTAACATTAGGAAAGGTCAGGGGAGAGATAAGGGAGAGGAAGTGAATGAGACAAGAATACAGAGAACACAACCAGAGAAGACAAAGAGAAGAGCAAGGAGAAGTTTGTTACTAAACTGTTTAGTCAGACTCAGGAGAAGCTCAAGTTGCCTCCCTGGAGGAGGTCAGCTGAAGACCTTGTATAAAAGGAGGTTGCTCATTTTTCAGCAATAGCATAACTGTGGCAATCCTGGCTCAGAGCGGGACAGTCAGAAGATAAATAAATGTTTCCTCTGTCTGGTGATATAATGTAATGTACTGATTTGGATAGAATTGTGTCATCCTAAATCAGGGGAGAGCAGTTAGAGAACTTGTGTTGAGTCTGAAGAAAAAGAAAGCTAGCAAAAAGTCTGAGGGCAAGAAGCACAGGAACTCCCTATAGTAATCTACTAGAGTCCAAATAAAACGTCTCAAACCAAGTAAAAGAAACAATCTGAACAATCTTTGAAAAATGTATAAAAAATACGGTTCCAAGTGATGCTGACAGTCCATCTAACCCAGTTTTCTTCCCAGAGGCAGGATCTTTTCAAAGCATTATGACCAATATATTGGAGTTTAAACCCCCCATTTCTTTGGCTCTTGTTATATTGGCCTATCTGCAAACAGAACAGTACCAGTTTCCTCTACCTGCAGGTCATTTCCAACCTGTCCTAGACTGATGAGGCAGGCTTTAAATTCATCAGAATGTAGATTGTCAGATTCATCCTAGCATCCCATCACAGGTCATGCATTTGGGAAGATGAAAGGAAAGAAAGGAAAATCACAGATCAGGTTAGTTGGTTAGTAAAGAATTTTCTACTCTTGTATTAATAACCATGTTTTTACAGAAGTTCATGGAAAAGTAATGTCAAAATATTGCAATGAATGATCCAAAAAGTGTACAACTTCTGCAGTTCCATGTTTTAGGCTTTTTCTTAGTCAAAGAGGGTGTTTATTTCAACTAAAGAGTTAAAACTGTGCTTCCTCTACAGGTGCATTTTTAACATTTTTGCTGACAAGGCAGTTTTTATTCTATTGGACCACCATTTGCTTTCTTCATTTTCTATTGTCATACAGTGTAGGTGAGATGCAGTACATAGATCACTGAACCTGGAGAAGACATTTTTTTCTCATGCAATTACTGATACTTCACTCTTGGTCTGATAATATTACTTAATGACTGAATATGCATGTCTTAGAAAAGAAGTAAAAAATAACTAATCTTTTGTCTAGAACCAAAATAAATGTGTAACTGACATAAATTACTTTTAGTTATCTTGATCCTTTAATGATCTTTTTTTTTTTTCTTTGAAAACTGACTTTTTGAAAGCCCCATCAAATTCTAGGTTAAAGGGCTCTTCATAACACCACATCCAACCGGATTATTGTTTTGAACCAATATTTTTTCCTATTTTGCAGGTGAAGAAATTGACACTAGCTTCTTAAAAACACAGTCTCATCTTTTCCCTGCTCTTCATACAAAATGTGTCCTATTAGAGGTGTACTTCAGACTGAGGTAACATGAATATAATTAAAGAGATTTACTAAGATTAAAAATGATTAGCCCTATTGATTTTACAGATTGAGAGTTTGGAGAAGATCCAAGGTTTCCTGTGTGCTACATATTTGCCTGCTAGATGAATAATTTGTTTTTTTTTAATTTCTATATAGTTATGCATAACTAAAATTATGGGATTTTTAACAAATGCACTGGGTCCATTTAATATACTAAAAGGATAAAGTGGTGCTTTTTTAAGTTCATAATGCTATGCATTTTTTATATATCATGCTGTTATTATATTGACTCCCTTTGCATCAATCTCCACCAGCTCCATAAAGGGAAGATGAGAAATAACAGTGGGAAGACAATTACAAGATAAAGTTGCAAAGCTGGAACATCATTTAGTTAAAAGCCATAATCACTGTGAAGTTTTTTTCCTTTAATATTTCCATGTTATAGGATAATTTCTGACATGAAGCATTCCAAATGGCTTATTTTATAATCTTAAAATGTTGATCTAGGCTGAAAAACCATCCTGGAGACAGACTACGGCAGGTCACTCCAGGAGTGAAGTCAGCTAATTTTACCTTATTTCTAAAGCCAAAGATACTACTCTGACTGCAAACAAAATTACATCAAATGGGAGCTAAGAGACAAATCCTATCACTCCACTTCCACTACCAGGCATTGATAGAGGACTATTAGCTACTTGACTACACCAGAAAGGCGTGTGGTCAGTTGTGCATGAGTTCCCTAATCAGGCACACAGCTGCAGATATTTAGTCACATACTTTGCAATCTTTTTTAGAATAAAAATAATAGAATAGATAGAATAAATAATAGAATAAATAATATAAATATACTGAGTCTGAAAAAGGAAGCCCTGCATTAAAAGACTTAAAAAACAGTGACTGACAACACATCTGTGTTGGTGTCCCAGTTTGTCTGCATACCATAATTCAGCTATGCACCATTTTGAACACTTCTAAGCTGCTTCTGTGATTCAGACATTGTGTCCCACTTTCTTTCTTTTTCTCTATGCAGTCACATTAAGGAAGGAAATACACCAGAGTTGCTGGAGATTTAAATTTGTACCTACAACTAGACTGTGCCTTTGGGCACAGCTGTCAGCAAAGAGGATAGGTAAGCAGCAGTATCCTCAGGAATGGAACCTCTGGGGTACCAGCGTGCGTACATGCCTGCCAGAAACACAAGAGCCTGGAGAGGGCTTCCCCCTTGCCCCAAGGGAGATGTGTTTACCACTTGCCTTTAAGAAGGATGACTTGTAACACTTCCTGTGCTAGCACATCTCTGCTGGTGGATGCACTGAAAGAAAAGCAGCTCTTCCTGCCCTTGTATTTCTTATGTGCATGGTCCTCACCTTCTTGCTGCAGTTTTAGAATCAAGGGCATATAGCCTCAAAAACAAACCCTTGTAAAATACCAAAAAAATTTCTTTCAAATATTCAAGATACAGAAGCCATTTAAAACAATTCATCTGATTATTTAGCTCTCTTTCAAAGGATTATCAGTTGCAGAATTAATGGATTATGGAGGTGGGTTTTTTGTTTGTTTGTTTGTTTAATACATTATTTTTTTATGGAGGTGGGTTTTTTGTTTTTTTGTTTGTTTAATACATTATTTTTTTTTCTTCCTGAGGAGAAAGATAGGAGTTCCTTCCTCAGATTTATAAGCAAATTGTATTGTTTTGGAAGCACTCTATAAAAAGCTGTTATGTTTATGTGTACCAAAACACAATCTTTAAAATGTGGAAGGGAGATACTCTGCATATTAGTACTTTGCTGATATCCTCAACACAAGCTAAGCATCAAACATTAAGATACATCTTAAATTGGACAAACGTCCAAGGAGTCAAAGCTGTAGCATGCATAAGTGTTTCTGTTATGCTTAGGTATTTAAAGCCTACTGTTTAGGGACAGTATTAATTTTGGGGAGGTTTTCTGGCTATTTTTCACTGTGAAATGCAATCCAGTTCTTTCTGTGTATTTTTTAAAGTATGTCAGGCATTCAGAAATGCTGCTAAGTGCAACAAAACTGGAACAGATGCTGCTAATTCCATCTGACACTAAGAAGCCAGTATTTTTCGTGTTAGGGCTTACACTCAGATGATCCAGTTTCATACTCATTTCTATCTTAGGTATTCAAGACCATAAAATAATTTATTACTGCTTTCTCTATCTAAATGCAAAATTTAAAGACTTCATTATTTTTGTATGCTGAAGTAACTCTGAAGCACCCCAGGTGTCCTTTATACACCAACACTAAGAATTTGAGAGTACAAGGACATAGGAAGAATATAAAAATGAAAACCTAGCCTGCTTTTCTCAAACATGTTTGTTCAATGTCTTTTAGCCTGTGTGGATTGAGTCAGATCTGCCCATTAAAATTAGAGTGCAATTTAATCAGTATAAGCTTCTCTTTTATCAGTGGTTCTACTATCAGTTCCCTGCAGAAAGCCTGTCTTGATGGATGAGTGGTTTTAGATATTACCTTCTTTCTTTCTTTAACTTGCATTATGCTGCTAAGGACATATTTGTTGCACCGTTGGCAGTGCAAAAGTCCTCCTAGACCAGTTTCCCATGTCTGGTGCTAAGTGATGGAGTATACAAAAGGGGCCATAAGCAAAATGGTCCTTCTCTTAACATGATCCTTCCAGGCCTCGTTTTTAAGGCCTTTGGATGGTATCTGTCATGCAGGCAGGTAAGGTCTGAAGCTAATTGCAGTGCAGGCCCAGGCTGTTGAGGCCATAGCAACTGATGAAGCACTTATCTCCTTCTGACCCAGCCACTCAGGCTTCCTGCAACAAAAGCATGGGCAGCAGGAACACTACCTGAAGCCATGAAATTATAGCCTGAAGAAAGGCAACGGCCAGGGATTGACAAGGATCTAGGAGAAAGGAAGCACTTCTGTGTTGCACGTTATTGTCATAGCCCATCTCCATCCTTTCTCCAGCTACGTGACACAAGCACCCTCCTCCAGGCCATACAGCCTTTCCTAAGGTCTCGGCTCTGTTGAATCCTTTGATATTTCCAAGTCTTGCTATTTCTGCAAAGCCTGAAGATCCTTAACAAAGGGCTGATTGGCATAGGATTTAGCTTCTCCCTTCAAGACTCTGAGGCACCACAAGATGCCTGTCATATTTCCTCAGTCACTGAACCAGCATTGCTAGAGTGTGGCAGAGAACTCGCCTATGAACTACAAAAAACACAGGGAAACTAGAAATGGCCATCTAATGTAGGATATAATAGATTTAGTCACGTTGATTCCTTACCATTAGGGAGCTGTCAAATCTCTGTGCAAAGTCCCTGGTTTCCCTTAATAGGGTCTCTCAAATACTGGCATGTAATTTATCCAGGCCTGGTACTCTGTCTGCTTATAATAGCTCTAATTGCTCAGTTATCTGCTCCAGTGCATGGGGAAAGCCATTTAGTATGCTACTTCCTTCCACCCCAGGAAATTTATCTCTGCTTCTGGGATGTTATCTTCTGTTTCCTTAGAAAATATAAAAAGGAATTATGCTGTGCTGGAATCACATTAAGATTTTCCATAAAATCTGTTCCTGGTTGCAGTGTAGCTAACCTTTCCTATGCTCGTGTGTTTCTTCAGAAAGCAGAGGTTTGGCAATCCTGCTTTTTTTTCTAAACCGTTAAGGATATTCTAAAGAATATTTAGCAAACCGTGGCTGTTGTCATCCAATGCACATCAAATATAAGTCCAGGTATGGGTAACCCTTTTGAATAGAGCTGGACAAACAGGATGTCATTGAAATGAAAGTGGCATTTTGCTATATGATTTGAAGGAGCTGACTCAGGTGGAAGCCGAATATAAATCAGGGATTAAGCACAGTCTGCATACTACAAGAATATATACTGGGAAAATGACAACAGCCTGGTGCTGCATTATGGTAGTCTTTTTCCAGTATTTGAAATGTGAACTTGGTTTTGAAGGCAGTTTGATGTGAGCAGAGCCAGCAGAGCTAACTCATGTACAGCTTGTTCTCCAGCTGGGATCATCAGATGCCTGTCTGCATGTATTTTGCTACTGTGTCTATTAATAGATACCTTTTTAAACCTCTATCCATGAATACTCCATAACTCACAGAAGAAGTGAGTTAAGTATCTTCACAATAGTGTTTTCACTCCTACTTTTTATTCACCCATAATTAGATAACTGAATAAAACAACCTATTTCCCAGACAGGAAAATTTGGATTTTCCTTCACAGCTCTCAGTGTTCCAGCTATATTTTCTACAAATCTGTTTCTAGGGGGACAAATTGGGATTAAAAGAAGAAAATTTTGGATTAAAGAAAATAATTTTAAAAATAAGATTAAATTAAATGAGATGGAAGCTACTAGCAAGTACATAAAGCATGCTACACTGCATTTAAATAAAGGGGCAAGTTTTTTCTAAAACACATATTCATTCAGTTCTGCCTGTTATTTGAAAAAAAAAACAACTACAGAATTGTATTAGCAGAAGTATAATTTTGCACTACATTTAAAGAGTAAAAATTAATCTTAAACATATCTGTACAATGTTATGATTTCATAAGGCTATAAAATTTTTCGTTTAATGATCTTATTTTCTGCTTTTTAAAAAAAACTCATTGCTACTGCAGCACAGTTTTTTTAACTGCAGGCTTACATTTGGAATGAAAAGAAACTTGCTTTTGTGAACAATAAATATTGCTAGTTGAGAAAAAGCAGGAGTACTGTACCCTGTCAAAATGATTGAATGATGCTCTGAAGTCATTCATTTGTTCCTGGGTGATACCCTTGGCATCTCTTGTGAGGATCTGAGTCTCAACCTCATTGATAGTTCGAGCAATGGTGGTAAGCAGGAGCTCCCATCCAACACGGATGTGCTATGAAAGAGAAAATATTGATTTATTAAAGAATCAAATATATTCTTCTATGAGTACAAAAAGTACAGTAAGAAAAAAATCATCTATAAATATTTTATGATACCTTTTCTATACCACTAACTCTATTTTGTGACCAAGGATCCTTAAAAAAAATGGCCTTCAGAAAAATATGGAACTGGTTTCTAAATGGGTACTTCTTCAGTAGAAATAAAAATAAGTGAAAATAAAACAAGTCTTATGAGATTATTGGAAAGTCTGCCAAATTCCATCCTCTGTTCCAGTCTCTTCAGATCAGGGGAGGTAGTTCTACAGCACAAAGAACTAACAGCAGAATAAACTAACAAGTACAGGGGAGTAAATGACTACCTCCATAGTGTAGTTGGTGTGCTTGTTGTCAAACACCAGAGCTTCTTGTATAAGCTGATGATCTCCTTCCAGTTTGTCAATGTTGTGTTTATAATTAATGATATTGTGCTCATATTGCTTCAGCTGATTCATCTGGTCCTCCAAAGGCCCTGTCATTTCAATAGAGCTGCGGGCAATTTCCTGTCAGAAGAAAAAAAGACAAACAAACACAACATTTAAGATTCAGATTTGCTAATTTGACCAACATTCACATAAATATGTAATATTTTCATACTAAGAAGCAATAGCACTAAAACCTTCATACAGTGGAGACAATAAATTTTACTGTAGAAAACATATTTCAAAATAAATGTGGCACATATATTTCTGGAATTAGTACAAAGATCCCAGTGATCCTCATATCTTTCAGCTACAGAAAGCAGAAGCTACACAGTAATTGTTCAGTGACTGATTCTTCAAAGTTACATCTCCTGCTCATCATCAAGGTACCATTTGTACAAGTTTCCACAGTTTTAAAAATCATCTTAACAGGTGTTAAATACTTCAGGATCAAACAGCTGGTGAACTATCATGGAGATTGCTGTTGTCCTGTATATAAAGCAGAAATAACAAATTATAAACCAGCTTCTGTTCAGCTTCTGCATGAGGGTCTGGCACACACCTCCATCTTGGTCTGGATCCATGGCCCAATGACATTGGCCTGAGCAGCAAACTGGCGACGCAGGCGCTCATTGGCGTGCTGGCGGGCAAGCTCCTCCTGCAAGGATTGATCCCTCTGAGGCACTAGCTGCTTCACCTGTTGCAGTGGGAAAGCAATATGTGAGAGTAGGCATAATGGACTAGTTTAAAAGCAAATGGAACAAATACATCATAGTTACTAATTCTAATTTTTCTGAAGGTTGGTATCAGAAGGACAAGCCACAAACATGATCGCTGTTTTATCTGCCTATTCTATGCTAACATAAGAAATTGCTCACATGGTCTTGGACAGCCTGACCAGAGACACTGACATGGAGAGAAGAAATTCTCACCTCTGGCTGGATTCAAGTTCAAGACAATTCTTTAACTGCTGTTAGAGCAGTTACTTTGTTTATATTTTGAAACACGGGCAGCTTTTCAACCTTTACGTAATTGCTCTAAGAATAATCAGTGCAAAACATTCTATTTGAGCACAGCCATTACAGTAAGATGAGACACATTTTGTTCTTCATGTGTACCTGAAGGACTCAAATACTTTGCAAATGTTTTTATTAGCCTACCCTTCTGGATTGCCCTGGGAGATTATGGCCTTAGTCCTTATTGTTTGTTTTTTATAGCCCATTGAGGGTATATTCTTATCCATGTAACTTTGTATATTGGGTAAATTCATACATTATCTTTAATCCCCATCCCTCCAGTAATTTTTTTAAGGTAATTGCCAATTTTGATTGCCAATTTCAATCTAACTGGACAGAACATTAATAGTCCCAAAGATGTGAACTTTTCACAACATTTGTGAAAAGCAGAACAAATTACTTTTTATACTGAGAGAAAGAATACAATCATTTTCTGTTCTTTTGATGGCAGCCCTTGGCCCATCCACTGGCCCATCATCAGCTCTGCCCAAGCCTCAACACAAGCTTCTCTTGCCCTGCCGAAAAGCCATAAAGGACGTAAGTAGTACTGAGTGGTGAGAGCAAGAGATACTGTGAAGCAAGCCTAGCAAAAGGGAAAGTGTAAGATACTGTAGAAAGTTCATTCTGGCATCTGATGACCTAGAATAATTTACAGATTTATTGTAAAGTTATCTGACTATTCTACCACTGCTAAACTAGAATACTATGTTACAATGCCCTGTGTGTACTTAGCATACATTACCTTTTCCCACTTGCTACGAATCTCATCCACAGTAATAGTGCTGTAAGGGTTGCTGGCGCTTATCCTCATGCTGTAACTCTGAATAACTTTTTCAACTTCATTCTGGATTGACAGTATGGCCTGTCTTTCACCATCTGCCTCTGGTAAAGTAGCTTTAAATTGATCGTGTGCGGAGATTAAACTCTAAAATCAGAACCAGAGAGGGAAAGCATGAAAACTGTAATGTTTCTACCAACATCTGGAAGATCTGCTGTAAATGGATGAGGGGAAGGCTATGGATGTTGTCTACCTAGACTTTAGTAAAGCCTTCAGCACTGTTGCCCACAGCATTCTCCTAGAGAAACTGGCTGAAGATGATTTAGACTGGTGTATGCTTTGCTGGGTAAAAAAAAACCGGCTGGATGGCCAGGGATGGAACTGGGATTGTTTAGCCTGGAGAAAAGGATTCTGAGGGAAGACCTGATTGCTATCTACAGCTACCTGAAAGGAGGGTGTAGCGAGGTGGGGGTTGGTCTCTTCTCCTAGGTAACAAGCAATAGAATAAGAGGAAATGGGCTCAAGTTTTGCTAGGGGAGCCTTAAATCGGATATTAGGAAACATTTCTTCACTGAAAGGGTTATCAGGCACTGGAACAGGCTGCCCAGGGAAGTGGTTGAGTCACCATCCCTGGAGGTATTTAAAAGAGGTGTAGATGTGGTGCTTAGGGACATGGTTTAGTGGAGAGTGCTTGGTATGTTAATGGTTGGACTCGATGATCTTAAATATTTTTTCCAAACAAAATGGTGCTGTGATTCTAAATAATCAGAGCTGCTCTCCCAGACTGTCAAATACAGTGTCTCCATGTATCTGTAGATACTAGAAATAATACATGTAGATACATTCATTAAACAGTCCTCACTGACTTTTTCAGGACCATCATTTCTTCCATGATGCATGGAATATGCTTTCAAACTAATGAAGAACCCTGTTTATAATAGAGCAGACATTGGCTGTCACAAAGAAAATGTCAGGACAGGTATGTATTTTTTTTTTCTTACACATGTTCTGTTCTCCAAAAAGGAAAAGCTTCTTTTCTTGTCTCTCTGTGACCATAAACCAAAAAATAGACAACCATTTACCTGAATTTCCTCTATGCTATGAACAATAAACATATCCTGTAGGTCTTCCATAGCACCTTCCATCCAGTTGTTGAAAGGAGCAGCTCTTTTGGCAAACTCCAGGTGAAGCTGATCAATTGTTTCAAGCAATTTCTCCGTCCTCTGTACAGGTTGTGAATGAAATAAATATTCCTTAGAGCAAGATCTAATTCCACACACATACCCACCCACACACAAAGTCATGCCTCATCTTTTCAAAAGCTACTGGTTGTATTGTTGACTGAATATATCATCTGTTTTAAGGATTCTCACTCAAGGCAATAGGACTAATTGTAGTAAAGATACTCTCATATCCAATACATTAAGAAGGGTGTATGTCTTTGAAAGATAACAGGTGAAATTACCTTTTCACTACTGATATTTTAAGCATTTTTGTTATTTGGATCTATCTGCAAATCAATTAAAATCTGCTAATCTTGCTTTACTAATTTATTGTAAGTATAAAACAGAAGAGTTAGGCATCTATTTTCCACCTTAGCATACATGTGTATGACTTCCTCTTTTCTTAAGGAACAAGATTTTGGAAAGTAGCTCAATGGTTTGGGATACTCAGTTCCAAAATATTAACTCAGTGCTGGCCATTATCCTGTACCTCATCTGATTAAGCTCAGACAAGTATGAAAAAGGTAAGCACCTAATTGATTTTGTTATCCTTGCTGGACATCAAATTGCCAACAAGTGGTGCTATAAACCACATTCCATTTGTTGCTGCTTTAGAACTGTCCTTGGCAGCTGAGCACTGTCAAGTCTGCTGTGAGCAATTCAATCTGATGAAATCACAGCAAAATGAAATGGAGTTCTGAGCAAAGGGTTTATTGCTTTTTGGATTCCAAAGTAGATGTTCAATAGCACTGTTTCCAGGTTGGAAAAATTGTTTATTTCACCCTCCCTGCTATGGCTGAGCTGCTGATCATTGTTATATGGTTTACCTCCAGTGCCTCTCTCCTTTTCTGAGTAAGTGTTCCCAGGCTGTCCCATTGGTCACATATCTTTTGGCATCTATCATTGACACTCGCCGCATCGTGGTAGTCCAGTTCACTAAGAAAGAGTGAAGACAAAAATCTGTGTGACTTTCTGAAAGACAGGAGCAATTGCAATGTCTACGTGCTCCCACTGGTCCTCAGTAATTCTTCTCTTTTTTTGCAGTACTTCCCCTCCAGGTAAGGAAGGAGTTGCAGTACAGACATGTGGTCTAGACATTCAGTGTTTCAAGAAGCACAGCACATGAACACGATCAGCCTCCTCTGTTGTGAGAAAAATCTAGTATCCATCTATGACACCCAGGTATTAAAGGCAGTTAAGGTTTCTAACCATCTTTGTCTCGGCTGTTCCTGTGGCAGAAGCAGTTTGATCTCATGAAGACCAGAGCACTTCAGTCTGAGGCTTTATCAAGTTTCTAAAGATTGATAAGAGTTTTAAATTATTTGGCATTATTTTGTTTTAAATAATCCAGTGATCCTTTCCAGCCTCATTTGCTCTGAAATTATTTAACTGAGAAGCAGACCTCAGGTTGCATTCAAAGCACAATTTTTTCTCACAGGCCTGGCAATACTAATAGGAGCTGCCAAATCTGGGGCACAGAGAACAATTTACATCTTCCTGTCCAGGAACTCCTCACACTCTAGAACTGGCTGCTGTTTCAGAGAACAGGAATCTCCAGACCCACATATGCCACCAGCATGAATCAATGCACCCACAAAGGATGTAGCAGTTAGCATTGCTTTTTCACCTGCTTAACAGGCTTATATCATCCTAACAGAAAGCAACTTACTGTTCTGCCAAAACTGGAATGATTTTTTAAGGCTCTGTTCTGGGATTCTGCACTGAGTGTTTAAAATTGAATTTTTTATGGCAATGGCAGATAATCCCCTTGTTTCTGCTGAAGCCATCATGACCCTAATAAAATACATATGTTTGACACTTCAGAAGCTCACTCATATTGGTGTATCATCAGCCACTGAATTTAGCTCTTGGCTGCTCCTTGAGATCACTTTGCCCAGTAGTAAATATTGCAGATGTTGTGATTATGTGACAGCATGGCAATATGAAGCTAAGATTTACTTCATTGCTTGAACAAGCATTGAATTTGTTAAATACAGATAGAATTTGTTCCTTTCTTTTGAACATTCTTCTCTAGGCAATTGGCAAGAGGAATCACTTCCTCTAGTAATTTAGAGAATCACAGAGATCAAAATGAGAACAGAGGTAGATTTCCTCTGTGAAGCTACACTGTAAGCCAGGGGCAGTGTTCATGCTTCCTCCTCTAAGCTTAGTCAGAGCAATCAGGTTGGGATAAAGCTGAGGAGAATGTGAACCATTCTGTTTGAAAGAGACTTCAGATATGCTACAATGAATCGAGTGTTGAAAGTGAAGAATGGTAAAACAAGTAAAAATAAAATACCATAACAATTTTTTAAAATAGCAAAATCAACCCAAAATTATGAAAGTAGAACTGTTACATGGTAGGAGAAGGCTGCTAGCAAGCCACACTATATAAGGGCTCCTTAACTCAAAAACTTGCTTCCTCCTTTTGAGCAAGCCCTTTTGTTAGCTTTCAATGGACGCAACAGAAGTCATCTATTTGTTAAGAAATTTTAAGTTAAAAGCATGAAGATTTGGATGAAACAGGCTGAGATATATTTTGCTGCTGTGAGGTTTTGGCTGGAAATCGTGGGGGTTTTTAATTATAGCATATTGAGAATATTAGATTATGTTCCTGTGTGAGCTGTGAGCTCACTAAGTGGATGGGATGTGGAGATTTGTATTCTGGTCTCTTCCCACATACCAAATCTAATATACCAGAATATGGACAAGGTATTTTTTCGAGATATACCAGGTCACATCCCTGAGAGTACTGCAAATTTTATTTTTGCTTCAATGGACCATTTATCTCCTTTTGTTGATTAGGATAAGGGCAGGTGTCCTTTCATGAAAGTGAGGGACTGATTGTACTATCTCTGGTCAAAGTCCTGGAAGGTAATGTGCAACGTTCCTCCACCAGCTCTGCCAGGGAGGTTCAGTCATTCCCCGTAAGATCTCTGCTATCCTGTTTCTTCCAGGGACATGTGCTGTGGGCAGTTAGATAGGAGAATAATATTATCAAAACAACTTGTAGAAAGGGCAACTATGAGTCAAAAATCATGTTAGTTCACCAAATGGCATTAAACAACAGTGTAGTTGCATTGCCATTCTGGGCCTTCTGTAGTTTAATTCAAATAGGTGTGAAATAACATTTTTCTGCTCAAATCAGGAGCAAAGGAAGAAATAACAACTCATCGGAGATTATTGACTTGGAATTAAAACACAGGTTTACATTCCTTGTCCTATTAAGTTTTGTATCTCTCTCAACATTGAAGCTGTGAAGAGACTGATTTCACATTTTCTAAAAAAAAAAAGTTTTCCTTCTGATGCATAGACAAAGTACTGTTGTACATGTATTACAGAGATTCAAAGAGAACAGTGTTCTTTAGTTGTTTGAAATCTACAGCCTTTGGAATTTAAACATCACTAAGCTATTCCTATTGATCCTACATGTAATTCAATCTTATCTGTAAAGAATTAAAAATTTAGTCAAACTTTGTCCTAATCCAGAGAAGCACTTAAGTATGAGATCACCTAGGAACAGTGATAGTGTCACAAAAATAGCCTGCTGAGCAACCAGAACCAGACTCATGTTAATCATGCACGTAAGCACAATTTGAGCCCAGGTTTCCAGAGTCAAAAAGACTCTGCAAATCAGTGTTCTGCATAGTGGTCTTCTTGGATGAAAATAAGTTGCTATGCTAGAAGTGATGAATAAGCAAAAAACTACATTCCAAAACTTTTATCTTGATGACTGAAAACTTTGAAAAGAGCCCACAAGACCATAAATGAGTACAATATTTCAGCTCACTCAAGTTCTACTCAGCATTTGCTACATCAGAGACGGCAAATCCCATTTTAAAAACGCCTCTTTCCAACGTTGTATATAGCCCATCCAAACCTTGTCACGCCTCATTGCCAAAGATTTCTAAGTCTACACAGGCTGGAACAGCAGAAGCCAGGCTGGAATCACCTGCTTGCACACACACAAAAATCCTTTGTCTTAGCAGCACCAATCAAGAAGCTTTTAGCAACTTTAACCTTGAGAACACAGTGGACTGAGCTACTGCAGCAGCAACTATTAGGACAGGAACTGCAACTAGTAGAGTTGAAGGTCACACAGCAAGTGTTCTTCTTTGAAACAGCAACATTAGGCAGCCAAGAAAGAGACTAGCTAAAACAGAACATGGATGTGTACTGACTACGAATTTAGGCACAGATGATGATGCTTTCTGTAAGGGCCTCATATAATTAATAAAATAAAAATTTAAAATAAATAATTAAAAAAAAAAGCTGCACAGACTTCAAAAGACTTTGGATCAGGTGCCAATGCACACTTCTTAGCATGCAGACATTAGTCAATCCGTCTTTAAAAATATGAATGGAGAAAGAAATTGGCATTTTCCACAATGATATCATTGTGTGAGGAATTCTGTATAAATAATTAAAATCAATATTTAAATAGAAGTTGCCCATTTGTTTGCAGCTAATAGTAAAAGTTGACCTTCATAAACTTTCATTCAATGCTCTCCAAGGGCAGTTAGCATTACTGAGCTACTGAGTCTCAGTGAAAATCAGGCACTGAGAGCCTGGAGAAGTAGAAATCAAAGCAGAGCTCCTCCAAAAACAACAGTTTTCAGCACCTTTGCAGCCCAGGTCACAAATATCTTGTTTAACTTCACACAGCAAATTACTGAAACAACTGAGAAGAGGCAATCCTAAAATAGACAGGATACAGTGTTCACTGGCCTCACTGGAGGTAAAGGACACAGGGTTCAAAATGCTGGTAAGCAGATGCTGTGCTATGTATACTACATTCCCAAAGTTTCTCATCACTTGTAAAGATGAAGGTGAAGTAACAATTCCTGGGTGTTCCAGAAAGTTTCTTTAGTGTAAAGAGGAATAAATAACTCCACAACAGAGATCAAGTCTTGAGAGAAGGTATTTCACAAGCACCCATACTTGGTGAAATCTCTGTTTTCTTTGTTTTTCAGACTTCTTTCACAGGAATTAAAACCAGTACTTGCTCTGCCTACTGTGATTTACTTTTCCTTCTTTCCATAATCTTGAAAAATAATATTTTTCTTATAAATTTATTTGAATTATACAAATACCTCAGGTGCTGCTGCTATCAGGTATGAACTACATTTTTAGGCAACTCCGATTTTTATATTGTTAATAAGTGTGAAGGTGTTTATGAGTCATGGTCCTTCACAAAGTTAAAAGAGGACATGTTTTTAACAATTGACTTTTTATAAGTAACTGTTTTGCTTATTCAAGAAGCTGAGAAACTGGAACTTGGAGAGCTGAAGCCAAGGACAGGAATCTGAGAATTTTGATCTTGGCTCCTGTTTTGACCTCTAAAGCACATTTATTCCTGTTGGCTTCACACATTTATACTGCGGGTGAGCAGTTAATTTAAGCATGTGCCAAATTGCTAAGATCAGTAGTAGCACTACTGATTCACAGTACAAAACCACTGCAATTAACTGCGTAAGATTATAAAACCAAAGGGGCTTAGCTTGGTGTACACACCAAGATGACTTTACTGGAGTAGGAACATCAGTATTTAACCCTAGAGACCCGTCAGCGGGATAGGTGAGCAAGGTCCACCAGTAAGGACAGAGTTTAGCCAGAGTAACTGAATCAACATTCATGATTTCTGCTGCCATAAGAGTGTCTGTTGGTCATGGGCCTTCGCTTTTCACATCTCTGACCTGTGTAGCTGATGTCAGCAAAACAGATGTAGCCTGAATGTGTTGTAGAATTCTTCTCAGCTTTGGTTGTGATTTCTCTGGGCAGAGCATGCTGAGTGAGCAAGTGTTGGTCTGGTGGCTAAGTTGATAAAACTATGGGTGAAGACTCCTGCTCTCCTGCAGGAGAGCTCATGTGCTTGATTGCTTGTGTGGCCCTAAGCAAGTTAGTTAGTTTTCGTATACCATGTTGCCCTTTCTGTAAAATAGAGACAATGGCACTTCCAGATAAAGTACAAAGAGGTTGTGAATTAAGTATACTACAGACAAGTAAATGGTAATCTAAGTCAGTGCATTACCCACTACTACAGGGATAATTTAAGGATGTGAAACCTTTTGGAAAGACCAATATACTAATGGGCAAATATTTTATTTTAAAGTGAAGACACTTGATCTGTAATTTCTGTAAGTTAAATCATTTTCTAGGTTAAGGAGCTGATAGCCAGTACCTCTCAGCATACCACACGAACTGAGAAATAAACGCCTTCAGCATTCCCATCAACACACAATAGACTCACAAGCAGAGCTAAAGCTAAAAGAATTCCACTAAGTTAATTTTTAAATGTTTGTTTTAAAATAATTTTTGTCAGTTGAATATCTATATTTGGTTAGGGGTAAGGGGGAGATGAGGGAAAGGTCTTAGTGACCAGCTCAGATAATATACTTATGAAGCTATCTCTGGAATTCTTACGTTGGTACCTATGACACTATCAAATTCATTGGAAAGAGTTTATCGCAAAGTTAAATGTCAGCAGCTGCCAGCCTTTAAATGGAACATACTTCAGCTCCTGGGCAATGGCAGCGATCTGTTCCACCCTGTCCTGGTGAGCAGCCAAATCACTCTCAAAAGCTTCATGTTTCCTTAACATGGCGCGGACTTCTGTCAGAGAAGCAGATTCATAATCCTTCTGAAGCAAGGTCTGCTCTTTGCCTGAAGGAGGAAATTAAAATAATAAACAGTTTGTTACTAATTTATTGGTTAGAACAATTGCAAATTCTGTCAGCTTTTTCAACTGAGGCATGGTGAAAATCACATCTATGAGATTTTTAAAGATCTTTCAATAATTCCTTGGGTTTTGCATAGGCTGCTTATACTGGTCTGAAATAGCAAGTATTACATTGCTTGAGAAACTGGCATTAAAACGGTTTACTGGCAAAAACTGGGGCTCTAAACTATTGTGGTCTTACAGAGTAGACTTACGAAACCAGAAATCACACTGCTATGCTAAGCTTCACTCTTACTAATGATCTGCTAGTCTTTCTCATGTTCTGCCTTCGATGCACTATTCATTTTGGCACTTCCAAAAAAACAAATTAAAAATTGAGATGTGTGGCTGTCTTTTGTATCAAACACTGAATTTTAAGTAGAAAAAGACAACCTATTTACAAAAGGCTAGAGAAGCAGAGGAAAACAGAAACTGAAAAAATTCTCAGTAGCTCCTGTGTTGGATGACTTAATCTATACAGGCAGCCCTACAACTGCAGCTCACCACATGGCATTACACAGCTCTGTGAATCCTAGATCCAGAAGGGACTATTGTTTCACTTGTTATGTATCAGCTGATGTGAAGTTTTCCCTGCGTAACAGCCATAACATGTCACCATGAGTAGTTTATGCTCAGAAAATAGGCACTCAGGGCTGCTAAACACTGTAGTTTCCCTTGTAGTATCTGCTTGGCAGCCATTTACAGCTTTGTATGCTTCCAGCAACTGTTTCACCATATGGATTCTGGTTTACTTTCACTGTGTGAAAAGATTCTAGCTGGAAAAAGCCAAAAGCATGGCAGAAGTGGGAAGACTGTTGTCACGGCAAACAATAGGATGATAGAGCAGATCTATATTGAATGGTCCCCAACAAAGCTGTGTGCCAGTGTATCATCCTATAGTTGTTAGAAGTACATGTAAGATTAGGCTACCACTAAAAAAAGAACTATAACTGGTGTGTAATCCAGAGTATGGAGAAAACAGAAATGGGTCTGTTATTTCAGCCTGGAGAAGAGAAGGCTCCAAGGAGACTTCATAGTGACCTTCCAGTACTTGGAGGGGGCCTACAGGAAAGCAAGAGAGAGACTTTTTGCAAGGGCTTGTAGTGATAGCATGAAGGGGAAAAGGTTTCAAACTGGAAGACTGTAGATTTATATTGGATATTAGGAAGAAATTCTTTAGTGTGAGGGTGCCCAGAGGAGCTGTGGATGCCCCGTCCCTGAAAATTTCAAGACCAGGTTGAATGGTGCTTTGAGCTTCCTGGTCTAGTGGGAGGTGTTAATGCCCATGCAGGGGGGTTGGAACTAGATGATCTTTAAGAGCTCTTCCAACCCAAACTAGTCTATGATTCTATAATTATGTAGACTATTTAAAATGTAATGATGGCCAAATGACAATCAACTCAGAAAAGTTTAACACTTAACTGGGGGTGTAACTGCATTCCTGTTTGGATTGCTGGATACATTGGAATCCATTAGCAGTAATGGCCTCTATCCAAACACTGAATATTCCCATTAAGTTTGACTCACTATGACAAGAACATGATTTTTACAGTTAAATTTCATTAGTAAGATGCCTACACATTAGGAGCATGACTATAGTCAACAAAATCTGCAATTTTATCTGTTGTTTTTTTTAGGTTTCTAAAGCTGCCCAAACTACTTAGGAGTGAGTTTCTGGCAGGCAAATATTCAGTGCTGACAGTTCAACCTTGAACCAGAAAACACTGAAAATGTTAAAAGCCATCTCCCCTCACCATATGCCCACTGTTCATGGGTGGAAGCCTTCTGCCTGAATTTCTCAGCCAAGTGTTCCAGTCTTTCCAGTCTCCGTATTTCATTCAGCAGCCACTCCTCATAGCCTTTCTCAGCTTGTTCTAGTCTCTGCCAAGCGCCCGCAATATCCTGTGAAGAAAATACATGGGAGAGAGAGGATGAAACTATCATCTCTTTTTATCCACATTTGCAGATTTATGATTCACTCACAATTTTGCTCCAAAAAAATAGTTTTTATATACACCTTTTGTAAAAGCACAGAATCATAGAAAATGTTGTTGGGCAGCTCAGGAAGTCTTGTAGTCTAGACACCTGCTTCTAATAGCGAGTCCGTTTCAGGTGGCTTGATGAAAGGAACCCCCATGCAAATGGCTTCTACACACAGCTGCAAGTTCAGGGTCTTCACAATACATAGCTTTTACTTCCTGTTTTACAATGTGCATGTTCTTTTATGACATACCTGTCTGTTATCTAAATAAAAGTGCTTTCCTCTTGGAAATTGACAATAGCAAAATAATGCGGATTTGGTATGTTTTTTTATCTGAAATACAAATTCATTCAACTTTCTGTGCTGTGCAAAGTTTTGTGAGCTTCCTTGGAAACTCAAGGGTATGCGTAGGAAACTGAAGTAACAGGGCCCTTGTTTTCTGCCTATGGGGCGTGGACAATGGCTTTTTAACACAGTGCAATGGTCTGTTTATCAATTCTAAGTAACCAAAACGTAAATGATAGAAGAGAGTACAGAAACAGGCTTGCTGTATTCCACAGGAAATGTCTGGACCCACTGTCACTCAAAATACTTATCAGTAGATGAGAATGCTTGGTACTAACTATTCTTATCTTCACAGATATAAAGGGTATAAAGATATAAATCTTAATTTTCAAAAGTAGAAAAAAACAGAAACATATATTGAGCGATGTCTGTTTCTGTAAGTCTGATGATCAAAGTGTCAGTGAAACCACTGTGAGTTTTGCTTAAATAAATAGTATTTGGCCTCATTGATAGAGAAGCATTGATAACACTTGGAATAGAAGCTCTGTATTGTCTCACATCTCAAGACAATATTCTCTTGGAGAAAGCCTGCAAAGAGGTAGGAGCATGCTTAAGAGAAAGCAAAATTGTTGAATTAAAGGAAATGTGTAAAAAGAACAGTTTAATAATGATAAAGTGCAACAAACTGAAGTCTCTGATGATGAATTAAAATGGCTTTTCCATCTTTCATGCTGAAATTTTTGTGAGAATGTTGACAGAAAAGGAGAAAGGAATATAGATGTCCCCACTACTTACTGAAACCATTTTCCCCTCTGATGGCATGAAAGCTGGCCGGTTGCTTATTCTCAGTTTTGTCTGCAGGGTGTTGAAATTGATCTCCAGTTGACATTTCTCTTGGACTTTGGGAGGTTTGTGTTTGCGGCGGTAGTCCCGGAAATCCTCTAATTTCTTCTGCATAGCCTGCATTGTCTTTTCTGGGGTCCTGTTTTCCAGCCAAGGAATTGTCCGGCGAATCCATTCTAAAAGCTTTCAAACCAGTACAAACAATTGAAATTAAGGCAGTGGAAAAGCAACAACAAATCATACTGAATGCACAAATCCTAATAAAGTTTTCTCAGTTTTAGTATCATTGATTTCAGTTGGTGTCAATGCCTTAATGGCAAGTAAGCACAAGATTTTCAAAGCTGAAAAATATTTTTTTAAACTAATTTGCCCAGATAGTCTAGGTATTTCTAGAAATGCCCTGATTTTCAGAAAGATGAACACACATTTAAGGCAGCTCTAGCTAATAACTGAGTTACCCCAAATAATTTGCCACTTTAAAAAGTCTTGATGTCTCAAGTAATCATAGTTATGAGATCGGGACAGACACCAGCCAAGTAATTCAGGTCATATAAAAATCTTCCTTCACAAGTGTGTCAGTCCCAATGTAGCACTACTGTCTTTGAGTCAGTGATCTCAATGTTTTATGCAGGTTACGCGTGAAAGACAAAGGAACTCTCACTTGTGCACGACACATTCATAGTCCTAACTCAATCCATTTGCCATTTACCAAGAAAGGACAGGAGCACCGTGTGCCCCCTTCTTATTCATTTGCTATCTGTGTTCACTGGTGCATTGTGAACAGCCTGATGGACCCTGTACAGGTGTTCTTTGCAGCACACAAAGCAAATGACCTTGCTTGGAGTGACAGGACCCTGCATATTCCACACGTGGTCAAGGATGGCTGTCTTTGAAGATGACAGGGACAGCAAGCTTGGTCTTGGGGCAGACCAATGATAGTCCTCAAAACACCCTTTTTGGCACATTAGTGAGACTGAGTGACTTGCTGGAGGTCACACAGGATGTCTGTGGCAAAGGATTCACCTGAACCTTGTCATCTTGGGCAACTGAGCTTTGTACCCTGCCACTGTGAGATTGACCCCATTGTGCCCTCAGTTTGCTGTCTTGCAGAGAGTACATTAATCTTTCAGCTTTCAGTATTTCATAAACACAGTTATCACCACCTTACAGACACAACTGTCTTTACCTCACTTGCTAGTCTCTCATACTCTTCCATCAACCTCTCATTTTCCTGATTCACAGCAAGAACCTTACAGATGCGGTTAGCTGCAGTCTCGGCCTGTAAAACACAGCAAATAAACAGGACATATTCATAAACATTCTGAGAACGATTCAGGCTTGGAGAAAGAGAGAGAATGTGGATGCTGCAAATAAAAATGACATTGCTTTATAGTTGGCCATTTGTGGTCCTACGTCAGTTAGAGATATATTTACCCTTCTGTAGGCACAGATTACAGTGGCCTGAATAAGGCACAGAGCACAGAGCAGCACAGAAGTAGCCTTATTATCCAAGTGGGAATTTCACACTGCCATTATAGTAGTCTAATAATTTTTTTTCTTTTCAAAGACAACTTAGGTCATTTTTAAAGTTATCCTATTAGGTTATTTTTCTAAATTAACAACATCAAAAATTATTAGATTTGTTAGCCACACTGGAAAGACACCACAAGTGATTCAGGAGTTCCAGACCACCCTATATCTGCATATCATATGTACATGTATGCTTGAGAATATAAGCAGCTCAACCACTGACAGCAAATCTATTCATGCATCCTGTCAAATTTATTTGTGAAGGCTCTGTGTAGCTCTGCCATATAAAAAAATCACATTAGTTTTTTGACATCACGGATCTATGCTTCCATACAAATTAGTCAGGACTATATCTAATTTTAAAAATCTGTATAGACTCATGTGTTACAGAGTATTTGGAATCTCCCTTTTTCATGAATAGCAAAACCTTCATACCCAGAAGCAAGAAGGCACAACAGCACAGATGTGCTGTGAGAAGTTGTAGGGAGGCTAACAGGCAGGAAGGAGCATTAAATCCTGAAGATGAAGGGAACATATCAACGACTTCAGGGTTCTTTATTATTTAATTTTTTTTCACATAAGTTGGGCTATGTCCATTTGTAGTCTAGAGATGCCACATCTGTATGTGAGAATCCCACTCTGTATGACAGAACAACTGCTGGTGTCCTGGCCTCTTATACTGATTCCTTGATCCACAAATAATTCTGCTGGCTTCAGTGGGAACCAGGAACAAATACTGTGTTGGACATCTTCTGTGCCTTTCTGCATCTTCAGGTATCTTTGAAAATCTAGCCCTAAGTTACTAGTCATCATAAGTAAGTCTAGAATAGTCTCAGTCTCTGAAAGTCAAACATTCCTTTATGCAATAAATGCATAAGATGTTGATGTAGCAAGAAACAACTCAATTTCACTCCAATTTTTAACTCCAAGTACAGTTGTTCTGAAATAGTCTTTGTAATCACCAAATAAAGACCCAAAATAAGAAACAGGAAAGTCCATTGAAATTAAAGTTCAACTTGCTACACAACATTTAACTAAAACAGGTTCAAATGTTGGTTAAAAAAGAGTATTAGTGCTCAAGTAACACTTGCAATTGTTAATTAAAATCACAAAGTACTACATTAGTTTGTTGTTTGTTTGGGTTTTTTTAATAAAATAGTGGAAATGTGAAACAACCAATCAAAACCACAGCAACCTGGACAGTTGATTAATACCTGCTCTGCTCCAGCAAAAGCATGGTAGAAGCAGGACACATATGTCATGATAGCTCTCTCATCGGGTTTGGGAGTGTTCACAATATCTACAAGAGGGTGGAAGAAATTAAAACAAAATAGAACAAAACAGGAATCGAGGAGCAGAAAACTGGATGATTAAATAAAAGCACAACATAGTGTCACACTGATTCTTTTCTTGTTCATAGCTCTGTACTCTATAAACTCTACAAAGCTGTAATAAATTTAGTGTTAGATTGATGGGTGCTGACAGAATAAAATGTACACTAGGAATTCGACATAAGCTCTTGCAAAGAGGTGGAATTTTTTTAGTAAGCTCCATCCTGCAGTGTTGTCATGGGGGAAGCAACCCTAATTTTACCAGGCCTATCTGCTGAAGAACTGGCACACATATACCTGGTGACTTCAAATGTGAGATGTTTTTGACAAAGACAGGAAAGACAGACTACCTTTTGATGTGGGGAGATGTTCTCTGGAAGTTGCATGTGGATTAGTTTAAATTAGCATTATGTATCAGTATTCTTTGTATTACTAACATCTGAAGTATGTCCAGCTCTGAACTGCCTTGCTTTTTAACATTTCCCTTCTTTTCATTAGGACATGATTTGACAACTCTCCTAAGTTGGTTGTGTATGTTTCTGTGTCTGTTTTGCATAGTAGCAACATTTTATGTTGTTGTTTGTACTTACCATTAAGCATTTAACATTTTAAAAACAATCCTGAAAGCATAAGAGAAGGGTTCATTTTCTGAGCATTTGTTGTAACGATTTTGACATCTGCAGCAGGAA